CTCTTTCCCAAGCATTATATATCACTTATATACTGCATCCTAAGATACAGCAAGAGAATAAGGGTTTTAATAGATCAGACAGACACCCTTGAATTTCACACCTGGTGCAAAGACCTTAAAGAATAAACAAGAACAACTGCATAGCATGAAAGCTATTTTCACATGAAATAAAACTTTGTCCTGGGACTAGTATTTAATATAGTAATCAGTGGGAAAGAATGTGAACCCTTTAGACTAGAACCAGATATGCAGGCACATGCAGTTTGTGATGTTGCGAACCTCTTTGCAGCACCATAAACCATATGCGCAGGACATTAAAACATGCCCGGTAGCGAAAAAAAAAAAAAAAAAAAGCTGTGAAAAAAGTGGTATGGCCTATGCCACAGGAGCATGAGCTGGTGGCAGACAGAAGCTAGGTCCTCCCGGGATTCACTCTGGCTACCAGCCAGAGCATCTCCCCTCCTTTAGTTCCACCCCAGCTCCTCCAGCAGACTGGGAGCTGGCGGGGAGCAGGGAAATGGCAGTTTCCCTGAAACAGGGCATTTTGCACCTCACCAAAGTGCACATGCAGGGGCATGTGCTGCGGCAAAAAGTAGCCATACAAATTTTTTGCCACTATAAGCGCACACCCCTGCATGTGGGGATGCACCCTTGGGGGACAAAAATGGAAGAAGGTATTTAGATTAGTCAAGGCCAGAAAAGACTTAGAGGAACTTCAGCCAAAGCTAGAATAGGCACAAAAAGTGGCAGACAAAGTTCAGTGTCCAGAATTGCATGCTAATATGCATTGGAAAGAACACTTTTAATTACTCATGCCCCTTGGTGGGTTATTACTCAATGCAACCTCTTGGAAAAGAGAAGCAGTTCTTCTGCCCTATTCAGTGCTGGTGAGGCCTCACTTGGAGTACTGTGTCCAGTTTTGGGCTTCACACTTCAAAAGAAATGTGAACAATTGGAAGGAATTCAGCACAGTAGGGGCTGGAAGGCAAGATTGATGAGGAAAGGCTCAAAGTGCTAGGGTTTTTAATTTGGAGAAGAGAACACTGAGGGGGCATTTGTTAATAGTATTCAAATACCTGAAGGGCAATTACAAAGGATGGAGATAGGCTTTTCTCTGTGACTATAG